GTGCCTTGCAGTTATAAGGACTGAGGCCCCCATTTGCTCACTGGCTGCCAGCCAGGGGCCATTCGCAGCTCTTAGAGGTCACCCACATTCCTTGCCACGTGGCCTGCTCCATTTTCAAGCCAGCACCTGAGAACTTCTCTCCCATGAAATCCCCCTCACACTTGGAATCTTTCTTCAGGAAGAGCCCAGTTCACTTTAAGGGCTTATCTAATAAGCTCCCCCCCCCCCACCAAGTATCATCTGATCTGGGACCTTAATCACATCTGCAAAATTCCCTCACAGCAGAACCTAGATTAGCGTTTGAATAACTGGGAGAAGGTGTGTGTACATCCATGGCCAGGGATCTTTGAACTCTGCCTGCCAGAGCAGCACCAAGAAACATAGCAGAAGCGTGTGAATCTACAAATGCGGAGGGACCGCACAGCGGGGGAAACCCTCAGTCTGGTGGGGGTTAGAACGAGCTTCCTGGAATGGGTCTGTTTCAGTTTTGTTTCAACAGAAGCGACAGCAGGGAGAGACTTCCCCGGGAGAGAAGTCAAGCAGTTTCTATGAGCGCCAACAGCATGAAGGAGCACGTGGAGCTCAAGAATGTTCTGGGGATACTGGACAGACTAGCGGGGCTAATGGGGGATGATGAGACCCCTGCTTGGAAAAGTGAGTGGGACAGAAGTTGGTTAGATGCCCTCAGACGCAAGCATGAGGGCTTTAGGCTTGATAGGCGGCTTTTAGAGGTTTTCCAGGTCTAGCTTGCATAGGGGCTGAGAAGCTGCCTATACTGTACTGGAGAGCAGGGAAGGGGCTGGGAGGGGAGGCTCCCGCCGCTGGATAGAAGTGTCTGAAACTCACTGAAAGCCAGAGATGTAGCTGGGTTTGTTGTGGGCTTGTTTATTTTCTGAAATTCCTTTGCCCTAGCTCATGAGTAGCTCTCTGACTGTCTAATCAAGAAACCTCGGGGACACGAACCACAGCAGTTTGGGAAGCCCCATGGCATCAGGGGATGGGGGAGGGCAGGCCCTGACTGCACGGTGGAATCCCACTGCAGAAATACTGTGCCCCCACATTCCTCACCAGAAACAGCGTTGTCATAGCAAAGCAGCAACACGGAAGATCGTTCTCTAGCACAGATGATTATCAGGCTAGAACATGCTAACTATAGCATAGTTGGCCAAGCATTCCTTCCATCCCCTTTTCACCTTGACATCTTTTTTTTTAAGACTTTATTTATTTATTTATTTATTTGACAGAGAGAGAGAGAGCACAAGTAGGCAGAGCAGGCAGGCAGAAGGAGAGGGAGAAGCAGACTTCCCGCTAAGCAGAGAGCCCAACGCGGGGGCTCGATCCTAGGACCCCGGGATCATGACCTGAGCCGAAGGCAGACGCTTAACCGCCTGAGCCACCCAGGCACCCCTCACCCTGACATCTTGAAGAAATACCCTCTTCACAGCCAAGCACCACTCCCCTCCCCAAAAGCAGGGGTCCAGAATAGAAGTCCTCTTCATTGGAAAGAAAAGTGTGTTCGCAATGCAGCTGCCGGGAAGATAAAAAGTTCCAAACCATCCCCAGGCAAGGACTTGAGAATTTTCCTAAAAGGGAGGACCGTGAGGTACGGGAATATATAACTAGGGAAATTGTGGGATTTTGTTCATGAGGCTTTCAAAATGCAGACTGGATTGTGATTCTCCTGAACTATTTTGGGTCGGGGAAAGAGAGACTGAATAAACTGTCATTTCCTGCCTTATGAGGCTGTGAGTTTGTGTTTCTGTTAGCCAGAGAAGGTAAGGAATTTTATTTTCCTATGGTTCCCACTTCTATCACTAACATTTAGTACAAATGGCAACCAAGAAACGACAGAATATAAAACCACAGGGTCTTTCCTGACTCCAATAGCCTCAGAAGACAAGTCAAGAAAATTGCTTATAGGAAACAACAGTTGTCACAATGTGTGTTCTTGGCAGTAACAGTAGTGGCATGCTGTCCATCTCTAGACCCTAGGACATAAGGAGAGGGAGAGAGCGGAGAGAGAAATAGTGAAGTGTAGAGAAACGGGGACATTAGGGCCATGAACATAGACTTTCACTACCTGCTAAGTTGCAGAGTCAAAAACAAAGGCGTGGCGTAGTAGGCTGAATCATGCACCTCTACCCCAGGACCTTCTCACCCTCATCTCTGGAATTTGTGGATACGTTACCTTATATGGCAAAAGGGACTTTGCAGATGTAGTTAAATTAAGAATCTCGAGATGGGGAGATTATCCAGGATAAACCAGTGGGCCTGATGTAATCACATGAGTCCTTATAAGAGGGAAGAAAGTCTGAATTCAGAGAGAAGGTCATGTGACCATGGAATTGGAGCAATACAGCCGCCAGCCAAGGAGCCAAGGGATGCCGGTAGCTTCTAGACGCTGCATGAGGCAAAAATGGGTTTTCCCCTGGAGCTTCTAGGAGCAACCAGCCCTGCTGACATCTTGACTTTCAGCCAGTGAGATTGATTTTGGACTTCGGATCTCCAGAACCATAAGATAATACGGTTTCGTTTTCTTAAGCCACTAAGTCTGTGGTCGTGCGTTACAACTGCAACAGAAAACAAATACATATGGTTTCAACGTCGGGCGTAGGAATTCAATCAAACTGGCCACATCCACCAGCAAGCTACAACCAAATCCAGCCCACCATCTTTTCCCCTAGGGCCTGTAAGCCCAAAGTGATTTTTCTGTATTTTTAAATGGTTGCAGAAATCAAAGAATATTTAATATTTCAGGACCCGTGAGGATAATACGAAATTCAGATTTTCCACGTCCATAAATAAAGTTTCATTGGGACACAGCCATGCTATTTCTTTTTTTTTTTTTTAGATTTTATTTATTTATTTGACAGAGAGAGACACAGCGAGAGAGGGACCACAAGCAGGGGGAGTGGGAGAGGGAGAAGCAGGCTTCCCGCTGAGCAGGGAGCCCGATGCGGGGCTCGATCCCAGGACCCTGGGATCATGACCTGAGCCGAAGGCAGAGGCTTCACTGACTGAGCCACCCAGGCGCCCCCAGCCATGCTATTTCAATCATGTATTGTCTGTGGCCGTTTTTGTGCTCCAGGAGCAGAGTTGAGGAGCTGTGACAGAGACTGTATGTGGCGCCGTCATCACTACACGCTGTTGGTGGGTGTACCATACAGCGCAGTGACGCGGTTATAACTCGACCGCATTTTGAATGCCACGTGTATCCCCAAATTACGGCATTTCGTTTTTTTTTAATTACATGTGCATACCTATCATGTAAAAAAAAAAAAAAGAAAACACTAAGGGCTTTCGAATGTCATGCTTTTAAGGCACAGTGAACGTAGATTACTTGGTTATCACATTAGATGTCAAAGCACTGTGTTTATTACACAATGACCCTGTAGTGTTGCTAAAAGAATACAGTATGCAACAACATCACCAAAATAATCACTCACTGCAATGTTCCTGACTCCCAGGAAAGCAGTGATTAGGAAAACTAGAAAGTTTAAAATGGAATATCTTATCATAGCAAAATTCGTCACAAAAATAAAAAATAAATGAAAATGAGGCTGCAGCCACAGTAATTTTCTGAGTGGCTCATTTGTTAGCCAAGCAAGGAAAGCCATTTACTGATGATGAGTTAATTAAATCGTGTTTGATTGCTGAAGCCAAAGAAATGTGTCCAGGGAAAATAAACTTTTCAAAGACTATTAGCCTTTCAGGGAGAATTGTGGCTCAAAGAGTTGAGGACGTTGGAAGTGACACCAACAGTCATTAAAAAAACAGGGCGGGGGCACCTGGGTGGCGCAGTTGGTTGAGCTGACTGACTCTCGGTTTCAGCTCAGGCCCTGATCTCAGGATGGTGAGATCGAGGCCCGCATCTGGCTCTGTGCTCAGCGCGGAGTCTGCTTAAGTTTCTCTCTGCCCCTCCCTCCTTTCTCAAATAAATAAATAAATCTTTTTAAAAAAACAGGGAAAATGACTTCAAGTGATTTTCCTCGGCTCTCAGTGAGGTGACAGATGTTACCAATACTGCTCAGTTGTTGTACTTTACTCCAAGAGCCAATGCTGAGTTGGCCTGTGTGGCATAACTCAGATGGGAATATTTTCTTTTTTTTTTTTTAAGATTTTATTTATTTGGGGCGTCTGGGTGGCTCAGTCTGTTAAGCGTCTATCTTCGGCTCAGGTCATGATCTCGGGGTCCTGGGATCGAGCTCCACGTCTGGCTCCCTGCTCAGCGGGAAGTCTGCTTCTTCCTCTCCCTCTGCACCTCCTCCTGCTCATGCTCTCTCTCTCTCTTTCTCTCCCCCTCTCAAATACATAAATAAAATCTTCTAACCCTAACCCTTATTTATTTATTTGAGAGGGGAGAGAGAGAGAGAGAGAGAGAGATTGAGAGAGAGCACACGAGTAGGGGGAGAAGCTGACTCCCCACTGACCAGGGAGCCTGAGGTAGGACTTGATCCTAGGATTCTGGGATCATGACCTGAGCTGAAGGCAGACGCTCAACGGACCGAGCCACCCAGGTGCCCCAGATGAGAATATTTTCAAAGAAGTCAAGAAAATACTAATTCAGTACAACCTGAAGTAGACTCTGCTAAGATGTGTTACAAATATGTATGGAGCAGAACAAAGCTTAGTTGGACAATTGTACAAAGCTTGTGAGAATGTGAATTGTTTAAATCCTCTGGTTATTCATTGTGTTATTAAACTGCAGGTATTTTGCAGGAACTTATTTGAGTCTGTCTTGCGTATTTCAACTATTAGTGTCAACACTTCATTTACTCATGGACTAAACCACTGTCAGTTACATAAATTTTAGTCAGAAATAGAAGCTGAAGATTTTGACTTGCCTAACCAATAGCAGTTCAATAGCTTAGCAGTGGCGAAGTTTTTCTGAGTTAAAAAAAATTTTTTTTGAGCTTAGGGCTGAGATTGAAAGTTTTCTGAATGAGAAGAACCACCTGCAACCACTATTATTGAACGCTGGATGGTTTTTTATTTTTTTTTTTTTAGGTTTTAATCTTTATTATTGAACATTATTGCTTTAGGGAATTTTTTTCCCCTCAACCAGGAACTGAATGCTAATTACATAAAAATATACACATATAAAAAGTAGTTCTCCATTTTCCCAGGAAAAACAAACAATAACTTCCAGAATATTCAAGTGTTTTGTTTTAATTATAATTAAAGTATTGATCATCTCATTTATTAGCTCTGTAACGTACATATTTAAATTAAATGTTATTAGACAACCATTACAATTTATAAATGTAAGGTGCCACTACTGAGTAAATTGATTCTTCCATGAGTGGATGTGTCTCTTCTCCCACCCACTAACAAAGCAGCATTATGGTTAGTTTAATTTTATGAGTAGATGATCCATTGCTGCAAATGCTAATTCTCTTCTCCACCGTGTTTTGTTTCTGTGATTGTACGTTGGTTAGATCGCACAGGCAACCTCTCTGACGATCAACAGCAAGATGAGCTAGGCTTGGGCTTTCGGTGCAGACTGACCGTGTCTGTCTGAATCAGGTGATCTGACCTATCCTCAGTAGCAAGCACTCTTCGAACTGCTTCCTCAAAGGCTGCTGCAACATTTGTGGCATCTTTTGCACTTGTTTCAAAGGAAGGGTAGTCGCCGTTGTCCCTGCACCAGGCTTGGGCTTCTTCTGTAGACACTTGACGTTCACTTATGTCAATCTTGTTGCCCAAAATCACGAAAGGAAAACTTTTGGGCTCTTTCACATCTGCGTACTATATGAATTCTTTCTTCCAGTTACTCAAGTTCTGGAAGCTCTGAGAATCATCGACACTAAAAGTGAGCAGGCAACAGTCAGAACCTCTGTAAAATGGTGTCCTCAGGCTTCTGAATCGCTCTTGACCGGCCGTGTCCCAAATCTGCATGGTAACAAAATGTCCATCCACCTCCAAATCTTTATTTAAAAATCCCACACCTATTGTATGGAAGAGCTGGGTATCAAACTTAATTGGTCACATATCTGTTCATTAGAGAGCTCTTCCCAACTCCACCATCTCCAAGGAGAATTACTTTAAAAAGCGAAGATTTCCCTGCCATTATTAATCTCACGATTTTGACTTTAGAACCCTTAATTGTTCAGCTCAAGCAGCATCATTATCTTGTGGCCACACAGAGGACGCCCGGGGAGCTCCCGGCTGGCCGGTCCAGGTACACAACGAGGAGAGTAGGTCGGGGACCCACGGGCAGGAAAGCGTAGTGCTGCTGGTGTCCAACTCCAGCTCGAACGCTGGATGGTTTTTTAAATTAACTTTTGCTGTAGACTTAATGTTACTTAATGCATTTAAACTAAAATTACAAGGCAAAACACTGCTTATGTGTGAAACTTACATTTCAGCGAAGGCAATGACAACTAACATTGTTTGAATTGCAAGTAATGTCATTACTTTAATCTCTTCCTGTGCTGTCAAAAATGAAAACAAAAATCAAGATTTGCATTCCCACACCAATTTGCAATGAATATCTTTTCTGGGCTCAAATTACAATTCCAGGGGTGTTTTTTGGAAATTAATGCAAAATGCAAAAGAAATTTCTATATTTAAAAAATCAATTTCACTGGGGGCGCCTGGGTGGTTCAGTCAGTTAAGCGTCTGCCTTCAGCTCAGGTCGTGATCCCAGGGTCGTGGGATCGAGCCCCGGAATCGGGCTCCCTGCTCAGCGGGGAGCCTGCTTCTCCCTCTCTTCCACTCCCACTCCCCCTGCTTGTGCTCCCCCCACTCTCCCTCTCTGTCAAATAAATGAATAAAATCTTTTAAACAAATCAGTTTCACTGTGCATTTCAGGAGCTTCCACCTAAATTTTAATTGGAAGTGATTATTCTGTATGCAATGACATGCTAAAAGGCAAATACCAAGAGAAGAATCTAATTGAATTTCAAAAATGCCTTCTAAAAGATAAATATGCTCAATTAAAATCAGGTATTTGGTATCAGTATTTGGCAGTACTTAGCTGTGTTACAATTTTTTTTTCAAAGATGAAATATGTAAAATCTCATTACAGATAAGTATTAACAGATGAATATTTGCAACTGATTTATTTCATTAAGACCTTTATTAACAGGTGCTGGCGGCACAACCGGTTAAGCGTCTGACTCTTAGTTTCGGTTCAGGTCATGATCTCAGTGTCATGACATCAAGCCCTGTGTTGGGTTCCACGCTCAGCACAGAGCCTGCTTAAGACTCTCTCTACCTCTCCCTCTGCCTCTCCCACCTCTCTCAAAATAAATAAGTAAATCTTTTAAAAGAGACCTTTATTAACAGGTGCTTTCATTTTGTTGACTCTTGAAAAAAGTTGTGAACTTTTATTACAAATGAAAAACGAGGTTCTTAAAAACCTCAGTTTGACCAGATATGAAGCAATTTAAAAACCTGTAAAGGTGTATTGAGATTGCAAATGATTCTGATGGTAGAGAACACTCACTCTGAACCCTAATTAAGTGAAATATTGTCCCCCTCCATAAAAGAATGCTATTCTTCTCATTAGCAGACCTATATTACAAAAATATAATTACTATTATATTTTGAATTTCATCAATAAAACACTTGTGGAAATTTGTTTTCTCTCTTGTTACATAGGTCTACATAATTTTCTTGATTTTGCTTCTTGGCCCTGAAAGCCCAAAATATTTACTCTTGAGCCCTTTACAGAAAAAGTTTACTCACCCCTGCACCAGACTAAGACACATGAGGGGGTGAGATTATTTATAGTTGATCATTACACAACTAGTATATAGTGCAGTGCCTAACACACAGAAGATCAATAAATACTGAATAACATGAAATCATAGAGATGACATTTAAGTAAGACCTAAGGAACAAACACTGTGATTCCTTAAGATCTGAATTGATTTTTAAAAATTTGATTATATTTGACATACGATATCACGTTAGTTTCAAGTGTACAACATAGTGATTCAACTGCTCTATACATTATGCTATGCTCACCACAAGTGTAGCTCCCATCCTTTATCATGAAATACTAACACAATGCCATTGACTATATTCCTTATGCTGTACCTTTTATTTCCATGACTTCTTCATTCCGTAACTGGAAGTCTGTATCTCCTACCCCCCTTCGCCCATTTTGCCCATTCTTCCACCCCCTTCCATCTGGCAACTGTTTGTTCTCTGTATTTATAAGTCTGATTCTGCTTTTTCTTGTTTTGTATTTTCAATTCCACATATAAGTCAAATCATATGGTATTTGTCTTTCTTTGACTTATTTCACTTAGCAGCATACCCTCCAGGTCCACGCATGCTGTTGCAAATGACAAGATCTCCTTTTTTATGCTTGAGTAATATTCCATTGTATATATATACACCACATTTCTTGTATATTTTATTTAATTCATGTTCATTTGAAGTCTAGCAGATGGCTTTAAATTCCCCTTGGTTTACATCCTGTGTGTCTTGAACACTACACTTCCTCCAGCCAAACTGTCAATTTCTAGACACAAGCTCCTGCAGCCTTCGCTAAGTTCTCTGTTAAAAATCCACTATTTTGGTGTCTTCATTTGGATTTTTGAAGTTAGCCAATGTAAACTGTTTCAATGTCCTTATTCTGGATTGCTCCAGGTTCTTGTCTTCCACAAAGAGGGTCCTGGGAGAGTTTCAGTATGTTCAGCTTCTTCCAAAGAAGATACATAAATAACCAATCAGCGGGTGAAAAGGTGCTCAACATTAGCCACCAGGGAGAGGAAAATCAAAACCACTCCTCCCACTCCGCCTCTAGAAACTTTGTAACCTTTTTGCTGCGTACTAGGATGCTGTCATAGCTCTCAAACGAGATATCACTTCACACCCACCAGGATGGTTATGATCAAAAAGACAGACAAAAATAATTATTGGTGAGGTTTTGAAGAAATCAGACCCCCTCCTCCATATATAGTCTGATGGGGATGTAAAATGGTAAAATTGCTTTGGAAAATACTCTTGGCAGTTCCTCAAAAGGTGAAACATAAAGTCACTATATAACCCAACAGTTCCACTCCTAAGTGTACAACGAAGAGAACTAAAAACATATGTTCTAACAAAAACTTGTACACAGATGTTCACAGTAGCATTAATCATTATATCCAAAAAGTGGGAAAAACCCAAATATCCATTAACTCATGAATAAACAGAATGTGGGATAGCCATAAACAGGATATTCGGCCATGAAAAAGAACGAAGTTCCTTTTTACGGATTCATTACTAATTTTTACCCGTTCACGCTAAAACATGGATGAACCTTGAAAACATTACGCTAAGAAGCCAGACACCAACAGCCACACACTGTTTAATTCCTTCCATATGAAATGTCCAGAAGAGGCAAATCCCTAGGGACAGAAAGTAGCTGCGTGGTTGCCAGGTGCTGGGAAGAAGTGGGGAGTGACTGCTAATTATATGGGACGATGAAAATGTTCTGGAATTAGATAGTGGTGATGGTTGCCCAACTTTGTGAATGTACTAAAAACCACCGCATAATACACTTTTTAAGGGTGAATTTTATGTCATATGAATTATATCTCAAGTTAAAAAAGATACCTCTACTTCATTAGGTACTCATCCTGAATACAGCCATTAAAATCAAAATCATATTTAGAGGCACACCTAAAACCTGTATTATGCCTATAATGTGTAAATATAATTCTTTGTTATAACTGGTTTTATGTATCTGCATGCACCTACGTGTACAGAAATATACATGAATAATTTAAATAGTATCAAGAGTGTCCCAAGTAAAGCAGTTCCAGCTAACTCAGTCCAAAGCAAAGGAGGTTCTGAAGGCTCAGGATGCCCCCGCGCATTCGGGCCTAATGGACCGGCCCGGAAGTCCACAGGAACGCTACTGACACGTGACCAGCGTTGCGGCTGGGAAAAGGCTCAACGCCCGTCTGTGACGTCATTTCTGCGCGACCCTGAGTTTTGGCGGAGCGTTTTCGGGTTGCTCCTGCGAACGATGCCTAAAGTAGTGTCTCGGTCGGTAGTCTGCTCCGACACCCGGGATCGGGAGGAGTATGACGACGGCGAGAAGCCCCTCCACGTCTACTACTGTTTGTGTGGCCAGATGGTCCTGGTGCTGGGTGAGTAGTCGGGAACCGGAGGGCATCTGCAAGAGGCGAAACTTCGGGTTCTCGAGGGCGGATTTTCTCTGGCTGTGATCTGGCAGGCGCGTCTCTTCGAAGGTTGGTGGGCTTTCCTGCTCCACGCTGATGCCTCCCTGCCCCACTCCAGGGCAGCTTTTCTGTTTAACCTTGAGTGTATCCAGGCTTCCCTCAAAACTAAATTCCTCCTTCAGAAAAAATAAACTGTTTATCTCCCTTTCCTCCCACTCCGCCTCTAGAAACTTTGTAAGCTTTTTGCTGCATACTAGGATGCTGTCATAGCTCTCAAACGAGAATAAAACTTTCCCTTGATCCTACGTTCTCTTCCAGCTGTAACCCCATTTCTTTGCTTCCTTTATAGCAGAACTTCTAAAAAGAGTTGCTTATATTGCCTGTCGCTGCATCCTTACTTCACATTGCCTGTTGACCTCACTTCGGGCAGACTTGTCTTCCCACCTCACCATCTCATGTCAAGGTCAATAACTGAACCTGTTAGTAGTCCCAGTGGTCAATTATCAATGCCCATTTTAGTCCTCATCGGTGTCATTTGACAGAGATGATGATTCCATCCTTCTTAAAACACTTTTTTTTTTCATTTGCTTCCAAGACTCCACAATGTCCCGATTTTCCTCCACCCTTGATTTTGCCCCTCCTCAGTGTCTAGCTCCTTCTCTGACTCCGATTTTTAGGCACTGCAAGCCCCTAGGGCTCAGTTGTCTCACCTGTTCTCAATTTGTACTCACTCGCTCAGTGACCACAGCCATTCCCAAGCTTTAAATACATTTGCATGCTGATGCCTCCCAAATGTTCATCTTTAACCTACACTTCCCTTCAAACTCCAGCTGCTTATTCCCTGTCTCCACTTGGATGCCTGATGGGTCTCTCAAAACAGCCCTGTTCAAATCGACTTCATGATCCCCTACTTCCTGCTCTCCACTGTTCCACCCTTGTGCAGTCAGTGGTAGCACTCTTCACCCAGAATCTCAGAATCAATCTTGACTTTTCTTTCCCTTACCTTACACCCATCCAGTCCATCAACACATTCTGCCAGTACTTAAAAAATCTTTCCAGAATCTGACTACTTCTTACCACTTCCATTTCTGCCACTCTAGTCCAAGCCACCATCATCCCTCATTTGGAATTGCCACAGCCTCTTACTCTCCACTCCTTGAGTGGTCTGTTTTCTGCACAGCAACCAGAGTCCTGTTCCAAACTGGTGTTTTCATGTAAAACCGAGAGTAAAACCAAAGTCCGTACCTAGACCCTGCATGTTCAGATCCTCAGCTACCTCTTGGACTTCATCTCCTAACACTCTTCCCCTGGCTCACTGCACTCCAGCTACAGAAGCCTTCTTGATTTTTCTTCATCATGTCAAAATGTTTTGCTCCCAGGGCCTTTGGGGTTGCTGTTTCTTCCTGCCTCGAACCCTCTTCCCTTGGTGCTTTCTTATTTCATCCAGGTCTCTGCTGAAATATCCCTTCCTTAGAAAACTCTTCCCTGACTATCTAAAATGGCACCCTTGTTACACTTTGTCCCCTTACCCTGCCTGATTTTTCTTGGTAGCACTTGTCACTATCTGAGATCACTGTCCATCCTCTTAATATCCTGCTAATTTTTTTTATTAGCACTTATCATTATCCAAGATCATGTTATATAATTCTTATTTTTAAATTTTCTGCCTCTTCCACTAGAATGTAAACTTCATCAGGGCAGGCAGGGACTCTGCTTTGTCCTTTGCTGAATCCCCAGCACTGTGTTTGAACCGCGCCTGGTGCATAGAGAGCCCTCGAATCTTTGTTGTATAAATGAGTTCTCTTTTAATCACCTAGGGTTGAGTCTGAATTCTTGTTCTCCCTCTTAGTAAATGTGTGGCAAGTCTCTTGCCTTTTGTAAGCCTCAATTCCCTCATTTCTAAACTAGGAATACAAAATGTCTACTCCAGCAGGTCATTGTGAAGATTAATGAACATGCAGACTGCCTGGTGCTCTCTAACTCCCCCGCCCCTTCCTCCATTAATCTCAAATCACTGTGATCACTTGACTTCTCTGTGACCCTTTAGGTACTTCATTTGCATTATATCAATTTCCGTCTGCTTTTTAACTGCACCTCGTTTATTTCCTGTATGTTTTCATTGTTTTCAGATTGACACTCCTCGCCACATGTAGCACAGTACTGACCCTCTCTCTCTCTTTTTCTAAGCACTTAACCACTTTTCCCAATGCCCTCCTCATAGGCGTTTCAGGACCCTTGATTGTCTCGTCTGATTCTCATGCATTAGAACACAAACCAAGTGTACTGTGATCACAGAAACACTCACAGCAAACTTGCCATGCTGGGAAGGACTTTTGAGATATTGTCATCTACTTATCCTTCAAATAAGGAAAGAAAAAAAAACAAAAGGAAGTAATTTGCCAAAGATCGCCAAGATGGTAACAGAGCTCCAGATCTTCTGACACCACGTCATTTTCAGTTGGGAAATTCAATAATAGGCTTCCATAAGCCTTAGTAATTATAGTAAAACATTGTAGTGCTAAGGGCCCCACTGAACACTTGTGATTGCCCCAGGGTGTTTTTCAGTGGCGCTAGTGACCGAATCTTATTCCATTTCTTCAGACTGTCAGTTAGAGAAATTGCCCATGAGGCCCCGGGATCGATCCCGTGTGATTGATGCTGCCAAACACGCCCACAAGTTTTGTAACACGGAAGACGAGGAGACCATGTATCTTCGGAGGTAAGAGGTTGATGCTAGGATTTCCTTCTTGTGTTTCAGTCTGGTTCTGAGGAGTATGAGTACCCCATCTAGTGCTAAACAGGTTGTTCTTATGGGCCCAACACTTTGACATTTGTGTTAGCTGTCTAACTTCTGTTAATGCAGCAATACCTTCGCTGTGCTTTGTTGAAATGCTGCTGAGATGTGATAATGTGCCATTTGATAGCTGTAATTTGGGTTTTTGGCAAGTAGAATGAGTTCATTCAACCTGTGATGTCTTGGAGTGTGCCATGTGCCTGGCACCAAGCTGGGGACTGGCTCTGTGGAGATGAATACGGTACTGCCCTTACCATTGCAGAGCCCACAGCTCAGTGGGGGAACGGGCCACCTGTTGTGATAGGATAAAATGCCTAAAGCTGTGAGCCAAAAGCTATGGGAAAACGGATGGGAGCGGGTCATTCTGAAAGGTGGTCAGGAAAGGCACCAAAAGATGATGGCATTTGTGTTTGGCCTCGAACTAGGATTTCACCAAGGAGATGAGGGGGCTGAGGAGCATCCCGGTGGAGGGAATATGGAAGCATTGAAAGGAGCACTTACGGTGTGCTTGGGAACTTCGGATGGTCCTTGGTGACTGTAGCCCAGGTGACTTTACAGGAAGGGGTTCGTGCATCCTGAGGTGGGGACAGAGTAAAATGCTGAAGTAGGCAAGTTTGGACCTTACCTGCCGGCAAGTGCCATCTCTCTCTTTTAAGCAGGGGAGTGACATGGTTGGATCTGTTTGAGATTTGGGAGTCCTTGGTTGAGATGAGGAATTGAAACCTGGGAAGGGCTAACATTACATGGAATGTGGAGCAAGAAGAGAGAGGACTGAAGATATAATCCTGGGGAACATTGACATTTAAAAAGCAGACAAAACAATTGGAACCTGGCCATGTGGAAAACGGGAGGAGAGAGTATCAGGAAGTGCGTCTGTCTGGGGAGGGTGCTTATCAACAGGTGCCTGAGGCCACAGAGAGGTCAGTTGTAGGGAATTAAAAAGTCCAGACGTTCCTTCACATACATTTCATTTCCTGAGCTCCCGCTCTGTGCCAGGTCCTGTCCAGAAGCCTGTGATATGCCAATGTATTTATTTGCTAGGGCTGCTCTAGCAAAGTACCGCAAACTAGAGAACAGAAGCTCAAAGCAACCGAAATTGTCTCACGTTTCTGAAGGCTGGAAGTCTGAAATGAAGCTGTTGGCAGAGCCATGGTCTCTCTGAAAGTTTTAGAGGAGGACCCTTCCTCAGCCCTTCCTAGCTTCTGGTGGTTGCCAGCAATCCTTGGCATTTTTTATTTTATTTTATTTTTAAAGATTTTATTTATTTATTTGACAGAGAGAGACACAGCGAGAGAGGGAACACAAGCAGGGGGAGCGGGAGAGGGAGAAGCAGGCTTCCCGTGGAGCAGGGAGCCCGATGTGGGACTCGATCCCAGGACCCTGGGATCATGACCTGAGCCGAAGGCAGCCGCTTAACCGACTGAGCCACCCAGGCGTGTAATCCTTGGCATTTCTTGGCTTGTAGATGCAACAGTTCAGTCTTTGTATCAACACATGGCCTTCTCCCTGTGTCTCGGTCTCTGTTTTTCTTCCCTTCTTTTTATAGGGACACCGGTCACATTGGATTAAGGGCACATTCTACTCATCTACATGACCTCATTGTAACTAATTATATCTGCAAGGACCCTCTTTCCAAATAAGGTCGCATTCTGAGGTTCCTGGAAGGACATGACTTTGTAAGGGATACCATCCAACCCCGTACAACCAGTCAACAAGCAAAGACCCTGCCTGTATGGAGCTTGTATTCTAGTGTTGAGCTGGGAAAAGCGACAGGCTGACATCTTGCTATGTTAATTTAAGAAGCCAAACTGTTGTCAGCCCACGGTCATGAAAAGAAGAACCGCTAGGTGACATTCAATAGCATATCAGGCCTCGAGCACCATTGTGACAGCTGGGCTTCTAGAATTGTGCAGCTGAAGAGGAAATTGGTTATGTACAAGATACAACTCGAGGCCAATAATAGAACCAGATTATAAAATTGATGAAATCTACAAAGGAATGCCCTTCGGGAAACATGGGGAAAATACTCCATTATGGTAAATAGGAAGGTTGCCAAGTATGATGCCCTATCTAAAGCTAACCCATTGTCTTACGCTTTTTCTCCCTCCATTAACCCTTATTTAGTTTTCTGATTTTGAAAATGGCCTACTGTGCCTGGGTGGCTCAGTCTGTTAAGCGTCTGCCTTCAGCTCAGGTCATGATCCCGGGGTCCTGGGATCGAGCCCCGCATCGGGATCCCTGCTCAGCGGGGGAGTCGTCTTCTCCCTTTCCCTCTGCTGCTCCCCCTGCTTGAGCTCACTCGCTCTCTCTCAAATAAATAAATAAAATCTTTAAAAAAAAAAGAAAATTGCCAACTGAGTGTCTTTAAAATCACTAAGATATTTATGATGTATTTATTGTATATGTATATATATCATAGTTACATATAGTAATTATAATAGTATTACTGTATATTAAAGGGATGTGTATTATTCAGTTAATACAAAAACCGATCTAAGAACACAGCAGGCTGCAGGCCCCATGGCACTAAAAGGCAGACGCCCTCACCTAGAGGCCAGAAAACGGAGTGGCTTTAGTCTGAAGTACAAACCCCGGCATCGAACCAGCCTGTTCCTGGAAGCAAGCCAGCTTTGGGACCTAGCCTTAGGGCCAGGTATTGCCCAGGTTTGTGGCCTCTGGCCAAGTGACTGTTGGGCCAGATAGTTCTCAGAGTTTACCCTGCCTTCTCTCAACAAGGCAGGGTAAACTTCCCTCCCCACCCCTCCCCCCGGTTGACGTCGTTCCCGCTCTAATCATGAGCAGTCTGTCCAGGGGCCCACTCTGGCGTGCTCCCCTGGGGGCATTTCGGCCCGCTCTCCCTCCTTAGCCAGCTGTGTGTGAGAGCACCAGTTGGGGAACACGTGCAGTCTGCCCACCATATGCCCAGGATCCCAAGGGCGTGTGGGGGGCTCTGTTGGTTGAGTGTCTGGCTCTTGATCTCAGCTCAGGTCTTGGTCTCAGGGCCGTGAGTTCGAGCCCTGTGTTGGGCTCCACGCATGGAGCCTACTTAAAAAAAAAAAAAGAGGGGCGCCTGGGTGGCTCAGTCGTTAAGCGTCTGCCTTCTGCTCAGGTCATGATCCCAGGGTCCTGGGATCGAGCCCCGCGTCGGACTCTCTGCTCCGCGGGAAGCCTGCTTCTCCCTCTCCCGCTCCCCCTGCTTGTGTTCCCTCTCTCTCTGCCAAATAAATAAATAAAATCGTAAAAAAAAAAAAGTACATATGCCCTGGAGCCCATCACGGTCCACCTCCAAGCCTTCCGTTCTAAAGTGCCTCTCTTTTGACACTATTGTTCCCCAGGCCCCCTTTCCCATCCAGCAGTCCCACTGTTGCAAATCCAGTGCTTTTCTGTCTCTCTGTTGACCCTGCCTCCCTTGATGCTCTCCTTCCTTGAGTTCTGTGAAGCTGCTCTGGAGATTCTCCTACTTCTTTGGCTTTCTCAGTCTTCTGGACTGCCCGTTAAATGTTGGTATTCCCCTGGGCTCTGACCTGGATCTTACCCCCTCTCTCTTTATACTGTCCTTGGACGTTCTCACAACTTTTCATGGCGTCAGTTACACTTACGTGCTGGTGACTCACAAAATCTAGATCTGCCTGCATTTCTCTCCTGTACCCAGAACTGTATATCTAACTGCCTACTCTACCTCTTCACCTGATGTTCTGTCTCAGATCCAACATGACCGAGGCCAAACTCATCATTTCTCTAATAAGGAAATACTGCAGATGGACTGACCCAGCACCACCAGAACACTCCTCTTTTATATCTGCCTGTATACTGGCATCTGCAAAGTTAGGGTATATAGTCCAGTGGGCCCCCCCCCCCCAAACCTGTAAGATTCTGAATGTGACTTCACTTTTGCCAGGTAAAAGGGATAAAAGTTTTTGGATGAGGCTTCCAAGGGAAGGCCTTTTTACTCTTCTAGACTTACTCCTTCCTGCTTTTTGGGAAAACGGACGTGATAATTGGAGCACCGGCAGCCATCCTGGGACCGGGAAGGAAAGGCCACAAGAATTACAGAACTTTCGCCATCACTGTCCTTGGGTCCTGGTCACTGCCATGAACCACCTTTTTTTTTTTTTTTAAGAGGGGGAGAGACAGTGGGGAGCAGGGGTGGAGGGAGAGAGAGAGAGTCCCAAGCAGGCTCCATGATGGAGCCTGATGTGGGGCTTGATCTCACGACCCTGAGATCATGACCTGAGCCAAAATCAAGAGTCAGACGCTTAACCGACTGAGCCGCCCAGGTGCCCCTCTTCTGGATGTCTTTTACAGGAGAACAAACCACTGTGTTGAAGCCACTGCAGACAGGTCTCTAACTATCAGCCAAATACAATCCCTTCCTTCTCCTCCTCCTCCTACAATGGCACCCTCATTCGCGCAGTGGCCCAAGCCGGAATCCGCGAGCCAGTCCTCCCTTTGTCTCATCCACCCCCAACCCCACCATCCCCTGCACACACCAGTCGAGTCATTCACCATGTCCCGTTGACTCCACCTTCCAGTCTCTCTTGTGGTTGCCTCCTGTTTAGCCCTGCTGCAATGCCATCTTTCCAGTACCTCCCATCGCTTGCTTGGGCTGTTGAAGTAGCCTCTTATCTGGTCTTTTTGCCTTTCATTTTGTTTTCCTCCGGTCTGTTGTCTACTGTCTGAGTGATCTCAAATGCACATTACATAAGTCTCCTGCTTCAAATCTTTCAGGGACTCTTTGTCACCTACAGCAGTGCTTTTCAAACATTTCTAGACAATGAATCCTTTTTCAAATGAAGTGCTTGTCCAGAAGTATAAATAAGCAGGAAGCCGCTGTGACTGGGGAGAGTCGAGCCCAACCCATTAAGGACCCCCCTCCCCCCGTCTAGTTTCATTTAGGGCTCATGGTTGAGTACAGTTTTAGAAAT